CAGACAGTTCCAAGATTTCAGGGTTAATTCTAAATGTCATGTTTTGCCACTAGTCATTGATGGTTGCAAATAGCTAAGTTGAAAAAAATTGAAAAAGAGAACAAAAGAGGTTTCAGATATCCCAGTATACTCCAGGAAAGCCTGCCAAATCTCCAGAAAACTGAACTTAGTAACTGAAGCTATTAAAATCAAAACTCTTTATAGAACTTTCATTTTATTTCGCGTTTGTCCTTCGGTATTTAATAGAAAATGTGGTGCATAGGATGTTGTGCCCCTCGCAGGCTGTATCTGCAAGGTCACTGTTGGTGTGAATACAGCAGATCTCACTGTCATGGAGCAGCAGTGCTTCCCACCATCGGGCACTCGGGAAGGGGTAGGGAGTAAGTCAGGGTGATCATGTGTTCTCCCCTCACCACATCAGGAAAACTCTGGGCTCTCACACTGATGTTCCTCACAGCACAGAATTTGGGGGAAGGTAATAAATACAAGGGCTGCAGATGGAGCTTGCCACACGTTTTTTAATAGTGGTGAAACAAAGGGAATGAAACAGTTTTGGAAAACATTGCTCTGACTGCTGGTGCTTCTAGTAACGCCTTCCTTTTGTGGGAGAGAGGTGTGGGACAGGAGAGGAAAATCTGTACCTCTGTAGGTATAGTAAGTTTTGCCCCTTAGCAGTTCTCTCTGCAAGTTAAAGGTAAAGCAGTAGGAATTATTCTGAAATAAATCCCAAAAATAAATCCCAAAACAGAAATGATAACCAAGAGGGAGATGGTCAGTGAACAGAGCATTGGACACACACTCCCTATTGGATTCTCTACTCTGTCCTGGTGCATCAGCATTTTGCAGTTAACTGTTTGAAGGGAGGTCCAGGAGTGACCTTTCCTCCCACTTGATGTTTGATATTTAATATTGCAGTGAACACAGTTGGAAATGTAAATGTGTGCAAGTTTTACTATCTCATCATTCATAAGAGACACACCCCAGTCCCCCTCCCTTCCAAAAAAAAGCCTCTGTACATGTCACAACCTATCTCCCCTGTCCCTCTGTGGGCAGAACCAGGGCTGGAAGTGCTGTTAGTTGGTAGTTTGGAAGACCAGTTGCTCACAGAGATGTTGTGTCTTTCTGTTACAGCTCAGAAATGCTCAAGGCATGGGCTTTACAATTAATAACTTTCTTGTGTTAGTGTGAAAACTAAAAAACAAATTTAAATCGCAACATTCTGACATTTGCCATTATTCGAAGTAAAGAAACTTGTTTCTTTAACTTAATTCCTCTTGTCCTGTGCCCATTATCTTTGACTTACTCATCAGGAAAAGTTTTCCTAATGAGCTTTGCTTTACCTTAAAATTTGTTTGGAAAATTAGTTTCAATTTACAGGGGTTCTGTGCTACCTGGTTATGTTCTTGTCTGGGCAACCTCTCTTCTGAAGGAAACTCAAAAAAACCCAAGTGGTTGTGACACTGTTATTTTGGAAGGCCTTGGAACAACCTAGTTTAGTGGAAGGTGTCCCTGCCTATGGCATGGCTGAGTTTTTAAATCCCTTCAAATCCAAACCATTCCAGGACTCTGATTATTTTTAAATATTCCCTGTCCATTGCCCACCACTTTCTTATATGCTCTGAAACCATTGATGTGTAACAGACTCAGCTCTGGGTGACACCTCCAGTCTTCAATTCAGGACATTCCCAGGGTGCAAAAAATCCAGAGGAGACCACGAGTGTCCTGGGGCACCTCTAGATATCCTTATCTGAAGGGCCAGTGATTCAACAGGCCATTCGTCCACTGGGAGTGCAGGGAGGGATCAGGGAGCTGAGGAGTTTTGATGGAAATGTCAGGTTGTTTTGAAGCACTGTGTGTGCAGTATGTAGGTCAGGGCTGGAGGGATAGACTGGCACTGCAGAGGTGCTGAGAATGATTAATTTCCCTGGGCAGAATCTCTGGGGTTTTTTTTTTTTCACTGTGTGCTCAAGTCAAGCTGCAATTTCTCATGGACGGTGGGCTCAGGTTTTGGACTATCTGCCTAAAGAGGGCATTTATCCTGGCAGCTGCTGAAAGGGAAACTCTTGTGGATTGGTATCAGCTTGTGCATTAAAAAATGTAATTTTTTTGCTGCATATTGGGAAGCTTTTCAAGGATGGTTTGTTTATGTTGCTGCTGTGTTCTCTGCCTATTTGCATCAGTGAGAGGTGATATTTGGGAGTTTTCCAGCAGCTGCCAGGCACCACCGAAGGTGTGGACCAGGCTCCTTTCATTGCCCGAGCAGCAGTACCTAATTTCCTGTGGAAAACTGTGCCTTTTCAGTCCTTGGCCCATTGTCTGATGCCCAGCTCCAGTCTGTATTGCCAAACCAGAGGTGCTAATGGGGTAGTATTGTTTCAAACACAATAAAATCCAGGCTCATTAAATATTTAGGGATGACTTAATATCTCACTGACTCTTCCTTTGTAAGAGCACAAGCCTTGTTGTTCTCCTTCTGCTTTATTCCCAAGCAGCCTGATCTTTTGTCTCCAGCAAAACATATAAAAATTGGCTGATAAGTAGTTTTAAATGTCAGTAGAAAAAAGTCTGGAAAAATTGGTTAAAGTTCTAAAATACTAACTTTAGATATTCTCAACTATTAGCTTCAAGTAGCATTTTATTGTTTCTTTTTTGCCACATTGGTGTTCACGCATGCAGGAATGGATTTTTCAAATGGCTTCTGTGATTGTTGCACTGCCCGTCTTCTCGTGCTTTACAGATGAATAGTGGTCCTGAAACTGTCCAAAGGAACATGGCTCCAGGGCTCGGGTTTTACTGGCATTGCAGGATGCCTGAGCACAATCCCTGCCTTGCCTCCTACTCACTGTATTGCCACACACTCCAGAGTCCCTGAGAGATGAGAAGCAGGTGGAGGGATTATGCATAAGGAAGACATTGGGTGTGTTCTGTGTTGCAAAGATGGTTTAAAGATGGGTTTGCTCAATAATTATCTCAGCCATGTTTTCTGACACAGCTTGGCAAATTCCTCCAACACTCTGGTATAGGTGCATGAGTGACTTGTACATTGCCTCAGAGTAGAGGTTCATCATTTGAAAGGAGGTTTGCAAATGGTGCTATTTACTGAATAAATTGTGTTTTCCTGGAATCCCAATGGATTGATTTCTTGCCTCTGCAGTTTTTTTCTGGCAGCTGCCCCATAATGGAGTTGTGCCTTCTGGGTCAGAGATGAAAGGAGCTGGCTGTAACCCTGTGCAACTGAAACCCTTTTTCCGAAGGTACAGTAAAATTTAGCTGTTGAAATGCAGCTATGCCTGCTCAGTGAAGCCTATGAATTAATATTTTTGTAGCAAAGAGAATTCTTGGATTCTTTGTTGCTGGACACCTTTGGTTGCTGCTGGATTTTTGAAACATCTAAGTAAAAAATACTTTCTTTTCATTTTGACCTCTTTTTTATGAATCATGGAAAAACCCCCATGATCTGAGATTCTGTTTGTGGGTAAGTGTATAATTTCCAAAGAATTTCTTCTGATCCGGTAGAATCCTGTTATATGGGGGAAAAATATTGTTAAAGATATTTAGAGGTTTTGCATTGAGGACTGCCAGTTTTTCTCAGACCTACCTTTAGAAGATTGTTACTCTGCTGACAGCTCTTGGGGTCAAGTTCATAAGTATTTTCAATATTTATGGTGCGAAATGGCATCACAGTGTTAAGATAAATTTGTCCATCCTGAAGCAAGGCTTGGAAGTGAAATGACAGAAAAAATACTGGGAAGTAGATGAGTTTTGTATGTTTCTTGTCACCGCTCAGATCACACCCAAATCTGAGGGCTTTCTGATTTTCAAGCAGAATTTTCAGTTCTGCAATACCCTTTTAAAATTCCAGTTTTCAACTGAAACTCAAACTATTAAACCAGTATGAAAGAATCTGTGCTAGAGAGATTTTCATCCAGCTTGAAACACAATCAGTACTGGAATGTTCCTTTGAAAAATCTGATCTTGCAAAACTGCTCTGTGTGTCTCCAGGCCATTACAGTCTGGACAATCTAAGATGAGCAACTAAACTCCGCGGATTTCTTACAGCTAAATCTGACTTGCAGGGACTCACACCACAGGCAAACCTCCCATGTTAGAGGTTTGTAGAGACAAAAAAACACGGTTCTCAGTCATTTAAAATAACTTCATCTGGTTTTAAATATTTTGTTTTTTTCAGTTAGGAAGTCCATTTTTTTTTCTCTATTTTTTGGATAGAGGAGTTTTGTGTTATTAGTAGTATTTGTACATGAATTTAACTATTATAATTTTTTTGTAGAAACCACAAAAAAATTTATTAATTTTAGTGATTTCAGAATTTTTGGAACTATATTCAGAAATATAAAACCGGTCCATTTGTCCTGGATTTGAGTCTCTTCCTACCAAACTATAAGGGAGAGAATTCTCACAGGAAGTACAGACCTGTCCATTTTCCAGGAGATTCAGGAGCTGTGGATGTGTAATCACTTTGATCACATCAGAGTTTGACTGCACATTATCAGGGAGGAATTCCTTTTTCTCAAAAGTGACTGTCATTTCCAGAAAGTGTCCATTTCCCCCCATTTTTAGGAGAAGATTTTGAAAGGCAACATTGTGATAATCCTTTTTGATCTGCTCTCACAACTGGAGAGAGGAAAGTCCTCCAGGAATAGGATATGATATGATGTGTTGGCCTCTTCATTATGGAATTATCAGGAGAAGAAGAAGGAGGGCTCTTCTTCTAGTATGTTAGGTGGTTTGTTGGGTGGGGTTTTTTGGCTTGGTTGGAGTTTTAATTCATTCAGGTTTTTCCTTCCTTTTTTTCCAAGACAACACGCTGGAGTTTCTGGGAAGGGGTAGCAGTGTGGAGGCATGGCTAGCCTGAGGAAAACTGGTTCAATTTGTCAACGTCTCCAGTCTCCCATAGTCCTTCTGTACAGCAAAGCATTTTATGATTATATTTACCAGTCTTTTGGGTTTTGAGGGGAACATTCAGAATATCCTCTGAATATCCTCTGAATATCCTCTGAATGAACACCATGACTTGGAATGTCCCAGTTTTAGGGAGGTGAGTGGTTCTGCAGGTGTGCTAGCAGGTTTTTTTTTTGTATGCCAGCAGTCATAACAGCAAATCAAACCAATTTACATTTGATTCTTCTCTTGCTTTGAGATCAGAAGACGTTCCCTGAAATGTCCCTTGAGGAGCTGCCTCCAGACAAACCAAGGAGCTTTGGTACTAAGGGTTTGTGTAGTGCTGTTGCTTGGGGAATCCCTGCAAAACCTCACCTGGCAGGGCAGGTCCTGTTCTGAGCATCTTGCTTGCTTGAGCCTTTCTGAAGTTCATAGTCACAGGAACAAGATGAAATTGCAGTTTATTATGCCCACATAAATCTAAGAAATGACTGATGTAATAGTGTCTAATTTTTATGCTAATTTTTGGAAAAATATATCAGAACTTTAGGAGTTCAGTTCTTGACTCTAAATCTGATTAACCATTTTTCTCACTCCTTGCCACAAAGGAATATAGAGAACCCTGATTATTTAATCTAAACTAGATTGTTGTAAATTAAGACTGCTTGTGCTTCCCATGTGGGAAAATAATTTTTCTTAGGAAATAAAGCATGTTTCTTTGATTCTTATCCTCTTCAGTGTGGGGCCAGGCCATCATTGAAGCTGCAGTGAAGGTATGTGAGCACCCTGAGCTACCCCAAAGGCAGGGCATGGCAACTGAAGAAGTGATGGACTCAAAAATGTGCTGCTGAACATGGGAAATCCTGCAGATACTGATATTATTGCGTCCAACAGATAGGAAGTGTTTATTTTGCATTTTTTACTTTAAAAGAAGAAAAAAATGAGCCTGAAAGAAATCTCAATCTGAATTACACATCTCATAGTCCTCAAAAGAGTAACCACTTCAGTTTAGCCAGAGAAAAATGAGTATTTCCTGCTAAGGATTGTATTCTTGAGATACTCATCAATGCATGCAAGAATATTACATCGCTGTCCTCTGGGAATATCCATTTCCATCTTTTTCCGTCCCATTCAGTAAAGCGCTCTGTGAGAAGGAAACGATTCCCTGAATGAATTCTCATTTTCTTTGACCTCTTCCCTGCTGAGGAACCCTATAAACACAGGACAGAATTAAGTAGCACAGGGGAAATGAAGATACGCTTTTATATTAAAAATGTTATTAAGGTCTCTCCATCTGGGGATGTTTATTCCCAGTCTGAAGAGTGGTGCTGGTTTTTGGATGAACCATGTCCCTGCTTTTCATAGGTGTGGCATATGAGTGATTAATCCTATTGGTTGGCATCTTTGTTTTTGCAAGAAAATATATCCAGAGCCTGTTGAAAGAAAACGGAGCATGGTCAGGAACAATGAACAAGCATAGTCAGCTTGCAAAGCACTGTTCCTTCCACTAGACCACGATGCTCCAAGTCAGAAATGAAGAGCTTAAAACATGGGTTTGCTTGGATTTTGGGACTTGGGGAGCTTCTGCATAATCAACATGAAACTAGTGGCATTGCTGTTGCATGTCACTCATGTTCTGTGTTGCTGACACCAAAATGTCATTTTATAAAGAGCAGATGTTATTGCTATTAATAAAGGATGCCCCTTTTCACCGTGTTTAGCATTCAGGATGTTCCTATGGCTGGAGTCAGTTAATGGCTTTGTTGTTGTTTTTAAAGTCTATAAACACTGGCCTTTAACCAAACCTTACAGCAAGAGTGTTTCTGTACTGGATGGAGAGGGGAGTGAGTCAGGCTCTCTGTCTGCTTTTGTAAGTATTACTGGAATATGATTGTAAGTTGTTCCCATTGACATGTGAATATAGATGGGATGGGAATGTGGGAAGTCTGATATTGAGTGGGACCCCACCTGTGCCAGGGCTGTAGGACCTGTTTTCTCCTCTGCCATTTTTAAAGCACTGTGTTCCACATGGAAAAATTACTGTTATTTACAGAAATTCAAAGAGAAACTGCTAAGGCCCATCCCCTCTGCAGTGCTCTGGACTGTGCTGCAGAGCTACAACAAAGCCCAGAACCTGTTTGAATGATGTGTGGCCAGTTTCAGCCTATCTTCTATCCAATTTACAGACACTCCACAAGAAAGTATATTCATGTTGGGGTGGACAGCCTAACTGCTCCATGGAAAAGGTAATTCTAAGGCTTCTGGCAGATTTTAAGGTATTTTATATTGTTGTAGGTATTTTATCAAGCTATAATTTAGGAATTGACTCTGGATTAAATATATTCAGTGAGAAATCATGCTGGAAATTGCTGGTGAGCAAGATTTCTAACAACTCCTGGTTTTGACAGCCTTGGAAGCATAAGAGGAGTAGCCTTCCTGGTTTTCTGAATTCCTTCAGTCTTCAAAGGGCCTTTTTGTAATTTTGGTTTAGCTTTTCAGGAGAATATGAACTCCAGTTCTTAATTAGTTTAAACTTTGTGTACATCCTCAGAGTCTGTCCTGTTGTTGGAGAAAGCTTGGAGGTTTGATTCATATGACATCTCTTTTATACCTCCTTTTAAGATGATATAGGAACAATGCTGAATAATGCTAAATTCAGAGTTTATGTGGCAGGCTCCAAAGGTCTCTCTCAACTGGCATTGTTTCTAGAACAAGATGTTCTCTGAGGGTCACGTGTGTGGGGGTCGGTGTGAGCAGAAGCTGGAGCACAGTGCCAGTACAAAAAAGAAGGCAGAGTCTACCCCAAAAACATGAGAGCAGCTGCCTGTGGAAGCTGTCCTGGCCCAGGACAAGTGGATAAGCATGGAGAGCCTAAGAAAACAAGGTATTGTTTCCATAGGAAGGTTTGTTTAACTAATAGACTTAATTTGCCAATGGTTATCTTAAATTAGAATTTACAATGCCTTGCCTAATTGCTTCAAGATGTACTTTTTTTTTTTTTTTTTTTTGCCTTCAAGGACTCTTAAATCCCAGGAGAATCCATCTGTTCTGGCTTCTCTTCAGATAGTGATGGGTGGCTGCTGTGATACTGTAATTAGATGTGGCTCCTTGATTAACTGTGATTCTTCTGTCCACCTGGTGATACCATTGAAAGGGAGCAGAGAAGTGCATCCCATAAGTCAAAGAACTGCATCTGTCAAAATGCTAAAATGAAATTCAGGGCTTGTTTTATTTACACATTACTTACATTTTGTAGTTGTAATTATCTAAGCTCTTTAGTGTATAATCTTGGGAAGTTACCAGAGGTTAAGGTCATGGTTTAGTGTTAGTACAAGTACAATGATTTATGTCCATCCAGTAAAAATTATTTTACCTCATGAAGGATAAAATTTCCAAAATTCTGTGCTGATCTAATACTACTCTTATCAAAGTTGCCACAGGTTTGAGAGGCCGTTCTTGTAAACCTGTGTGTCCTTGTGTATTATTTCTTCCTTATGTCTTTTGCAAAAAGGTTCTGGCCGTTTGGTTAAGTGCACGGGCCTGCTGGTGTGTAAAACAGCAGCCTGGCTTTATTTAGCAGACCAGACTGCTGTTGGAAGTGAAAGGAAAAATAATATTTTAAGTCTTGGACAATTAGAAATGACAGCTGGATGTAACAGCTTGTCTCTGGATTGGCAGGCCAAGCCTCAGACCCCTCAGTTCCTGTGGCTCAGTCTGTAGATTGATCTGAATGCGTCTGTTCTTAGATTCCAGGTCTGGACCTGAGTCAGCTGAATTTCTCCACTGTTTGGTGATCATTACACTGGACTTAGAGACATGAGAAAAAGTGCTGGAAAACTTGGAGCTGGCTCTGAATTGACATTCAAGCAATATGTGTAAAAAAAGGCTGCCAGGCATTCACACTTGACATAGCATCATTTTTTTTGCTTTGCTAAAGGGATGGATTCCAGGGAAGTACCAGACTACCTGTGCTAATGTCAGTGACCAATTTCCAGTATAAAGAAAGAAAAATAATACTCCAGCCTTACTTCTTTGTGATGGTGGTTGTGATGGGGCTGGTGACAAAGGAGTTAGTTGGTGACTTTCTTTTCTGCTGAAGATGCCACTTAGGATTGAGTTTGGGAAAGGATAAAATTATGAACTGATGGCTGAATCCTCTACACAGGGAAGCTGGGTTTGGAGATTAAACACTGAGTTTGTACTCCTCCCTCTCACTAATCATTAAATACACACGAGGAGCTGTGACAGATGGGCCACGTTCCACATTTTCAGAACATATTTCAGAATTAATTGTGCTGACAACATTTTAGAAAGAGCAGCTCCAGACTCTTCTCTTTGGCAACAGTGGCTTCTGGCTGCTGTCAGGCAGATGAACATGTTTTTCTGGGTTTATTATTTTGGGTTTAGCTCACATGCTCACAGTACTGATGATTAGGGGTATGGAGGGAGCACTACCTGTATTTATTAACCAGACTTCAAATACATGCAGCCATCAACAGCTTTTTACCTGAGTGCCTGTGGATTTGGGACGAGGAATAGCTCTGGGAGCAGATAAGGAGAGGTGGGAGGGAAGCCTAGAACAGGATCCATGCTGTGTTGTTGTTTGTGGCCATTAGAGATGGCTGACAGGGATCCAGAGGGCTGAGATCTGGTCTGCAGAGAATTACAGTGAGGTTTAGTCTAGACTAAACATTTTTGCATGCACTGAGTCTATCACTCTTGTTCAGATTCCTCTGCCATGGACTAATTGGAGCTGATGATCGCCTGCCATGAGAATTGCAAATTCCTTTTCCAAGGTGCTTTTTTTTTCTTCTTTTCCTTTTTTAAAAAGCAGTTTACAGGTTTTGGCAAGAGGCTGTTTTTGGCTCTAAAATGACAAAAATGCTTCCAGCATAGATTTAGGCATAACTGTTAATATTCTCCAGATTCCTTCATTGAAAAACCATGCCAGTTACAAACAAACAAAAATCCACCCCTCTCTCCAATTTGATTAGCCAAATATACTTTTTGTTCTTTTATTTTCAGCCCGTAAAAGCTCTTTCCTTCAAACCTTGAAAAGCAGAATGCATTTTTTCATTGTGCTTTTGACAGACATCCACTATATGTTTCTCCCACAAAATTTGCATGCTGTGGTGGGATTTCCAAAGCATTCCCCCTCTACCTCAGATTTTTGTGCTTGGAGTCAGCAGGATCAGTGTTAGACTGACTCTGGACGCCCTGGAAATCTGCTTCTTGCTCAGACACTTTGTTTTTTGTTCTTTCATCTCTTAAAACACATTTTACCTGGATAGACCTTGAATACCTTTACTTCATTCTGAGTTTTCCACGTATATTACTTCTCAGTACGAACAAAAGGAAGATGATATATAGTGTACCAAGATGGATGTTAGGAATTGTTGAACATTTTCTTTAATTTTTAGAAGGAGTTTTGAAGCATCTCTTCTCACCCCTTCTTCAGCTTTGTCAGTTACAGGAAGAAACCTTAAGAGCAAATATTTTAATGGTGGCCAATCAATCAAAGGCTTTTTTGAGAAGAGTTATCAAAAACCAGTTGCCATTAAAATTAGGGTTTGGGGTTTTCTTATGAGGTTTTTTGTGTGTGTGTGTGTGTGTGTGTTCCCATAATGCTAATTCAGAAACAAGGAGATCTTGTAAAAGCTGTGAAGTTGTTAATAATGCAATTTAATTAATGTACATTTTCAAATTCTTTTAAAATCAAAGCCAGAAGTAGCTGCAAGAAAGCTGCAGAATGGGTGAGAAGGTGAAAAACACAAGGAAGGAAGATGGAAGAGGAAGATGATTTATCTGCTGCCTTAAGAAACAGCGTTTATAAGCATAAGGTAGAGACTGGGATTGGGATCAGAATAAGGGTCTGACTGGGATAAGATGAAAAGTTGCTGCTTCTCAAAAATCTATCTGAAGCTAGTCAGGGTTTGAGGACTTGGATTTAAAAGATCTAATAATCACCCTTGCATGCATTTCTGTAATAATCAGATAATTATTATCTTCTCTTTGTGTGGTGGAGTTAATTTCAGTATTATTCTGAAAGTCCTAGTTCAGCTGTCTGGCTGAGTGGGAAGAAATGCAGACTTCCAGAAAAATTCTCCTCACTTACTCATGGTTTTTCAATGGTAAAGCCTGTTTTGTGATGACTCAGGCAGTTCTGGCTCCCATTTTGTGGGATAAAACTCCTGACGTACCATATTCCTCCTGTCGCAGTAGCAGCCCCTAGAAATCTTGGGAACCTCCAAGTTTATGCCAGCTCTCCTGAGATTTCTGCAGGGTCTTGGGAGCAGCCAAAGCAGATTTCTCTTTGCAGAGAAATTTCCCTCTTTGCAGAGAAATCTCCTCCTGGAGAGCCTGCCTTCTGTGCCCTCTTATTCCTTGGACAGGCTTCTGAGGAAGTGACAGCTGACTGATCCTAACAGGATCACAGGAATTGGACTCCTTGATGTTCCTCCTATAGCTGAGGGAAACTGTTGAATATAAGTACACACAAAGAAGAACTGAGGTGCAACGAGGAATGGTAATTCCATTTTGAAACTGTCAGCTGTCAGTCCAGGTGAAAGTCAAGATAAAAAGTTTTGGTCATTGATTTTTGTTTTTTAAGAGTCTGAGGCTGATCTTTAAATAAAGCATTTGCACTCACTTGTAGGACTTAAGCCAGTTGTGTGCCCTCTAATTACATCAGTCCAGGAATGGAGAAGTTTGGAACAGCAGCAAATACTACAGGAGCTGCCAAGAGTGATTTTTTCCAAGCACCCATGCGGAATCTTAGCCTGTGCAGTGTATTTCAGCAGTAATTCTTGGGCTCTGTTCTTTGGTGTTAGTTCAGTCATGGCCTTGTAACAGGCAAAGTGGAAAATGCTGGAGAAATGCCATGTTAAAGCACATAATGCCAGAACTATAAATATTGGGTTCTTATATTATTGTAAAAATGAGGCTGTAACAGACCTAAGACAAGAACCCAAATAATTTCTTCTCAAATCATAGAAACAGTAAGATAAATAATATTAAATAGAATCAGTCCATTAACCAATGATTTTGCCTTGATTTACACCAGCTTAGTGTCACAGCACATTTCTTCCCCTAAGGCAGGCTGTACCCAGGAGATGTGCAAAAGATTTTTCTCTTAAAGAAACCTGGGATTTAAAAAAAAGGAATTAATAAAATGTAGAAGAGGCCTTGTCACATGGTTTGAATTTACCTGGCCCACAGCCAGGAGCCATAGGTTTGATTTGTATCCCAGCAGGTCACTGCAGATCATAGCAATTCTGTTAAAATGTGCTCAAATTTGTTAAAAGGCAGCATACACACACACAGTGTGTGATCAGTTATCAATTTTTAATAGTATTTCCCTACAAAAGTCAGCAGGAAAAGTGCTGTATGTGTCCCTGTGGCCTGCTTTGTTCTTTCTTATAATAATTTTTTTCTTTTTATTGTACTTAAAATCATTACCTAGTCTAAATTCTTCCCGAATCGCAAATGAGGACATTTTGCATCATTGTAACAAAAGGTGAAATACATTGTAGCAGAATTAATCCACTCTTTAGAAAAATGGTTTAAAAATCAATCAATATAATTATTTTAACTAAGTCCCTAAAGGATAAAGGCTATTTCTTGGCTCAGGTGAGCAACCTTACAAACCAATAGCAAGTTTTGTCTCTTACCTCAGAATAAGTCAGAGTGAGTAATCTCTGTGTTTTTTTTCAAATGATCAGCACACTATTTGTTTATTGTAATTTCTTAATTTCTCTCTGTCATTAGTGTTAGAAATCCTTCAGAGTTTTGCCCTTCATAGAGGGAGGATTAAACCTGCTAAAAGCCAGCAGTGGTATGAAAAAAGAGTACCAGGCAGCCTTGAGCCTCTTCGAAAAAGGAATTCCAGTAAGGAGCACTACATCTCAGAGTATCATAAAGCCTTCATTTAAACTGCTGCAACTGATGGAGATTTTGGTACTGTCTCAGATGATCAGCTCCCCACAGGCTCTTCTTCAGCCTTCCTGTCTGTGCCTTGATTAAATCAATGGATTCTGAAGGGAAGCCTCAGAAAATCACCAAATTAGCTATATTTATGGCATGGTATTTTTCCAGAAACCAGTTGATGGTAATTAACAGAGCAGCAGCACTGTGCTTCATTTTTGCAGAGTAATAACTTGTTTCAGAAGCACCCCAAATTTCAGGCTGATGACAGTGTTATTGTGCAGGAAAATGGACGTGTCAGTTCTCTTCCATCTCTCAGGCTGGGAGGGAAATCATTTGGTGCCCACAGGAAAGGACGAAGGACGAAGTAATTAACATATTAATAGAGAAATAATATGTCCCTGTCTCTGTTCCTGGCTGAGTTTTGGTGCCCAGCCTACCCAGGCTCTGGTGATTGCTGCAGCTGAAGTCCAAATTCAGCCCTAGGGCATGACCCAAGGCACCCAAGAGTGACAAAATGAATTAGGAAAAAAACCCCAAAAAACAGTGAGACCCAAAGAGGCTGCTGCTGTTCTGTGTTCCTGGGCTGCAGGATTCAAATACCAAGGGAGTGGAGTGAAGGAAAGGATAACCTTGAGTTTACCTGCCTAGTCTGGGAAGGATAAATAAATGGCCTGCAAGTGATAAAGTGACCAAATGCTTCCTTTTTGGTTCATTCATCCTTTCACAGGTGAGGAGAATAAAGACATACCTGAGAACGTACAAGGGGCTTTGAACAGATGCTGACTCAACATCTGTGGGATGTTGAGGAGCTGACTTCAGCATCGTGTAATGAAAGGAAATGCTGAGGTTAGGTTTTCTCGTGGGATTTTTGGGTGGTTACTGCCCATGTCTTTACCACTGAGATGTGGGGGACAGCTCAGACTCCTCTTTAGGGAATGCCTCGGTTACTTGTGTGGTGTGTGGATGAAGGGTGGGTGCATTCCTTGTCTGGAGTATGTACTGCTCCATTTCCCCAGCAGCCAACAAGAGCAGAGGACAGGGAAAATCAGTTCTGGGCGCCAGCTTGGCAAATTCAGAGTTGGTGTTAATCAAGGCTGCAAACTTCAGAATAAAAGTGACTTTGTGTTCTTAGTGGGATGGGAGTTACGGATGGGACATGTGGTGTTTTTGGGAGAGGCACTGAGATGAGTTACCTTGGGACAGAAGCTCCTTTCCACATTACATTGCAGAATGTTTATGTCATGTGGGGCAGTAAGAGCACTTCAGTCTTCAATCCCTTCCCATCCTCAGTCCTTCCAAAGACAGTCCACTCTGCACTGTCTTGTGTCCTTCCCCGGCAGAAAACATCCATTTTCTGTTTCTGCCTTCTTTGGGAGAAGAACAAATTTTTGGGACTGTCATTGCTTCTTCCCTTTGTTTTGACCTGATGCTGTGGGGACAGAACTAGGATGGGGGAAGATGACTTCTCTTTTAACCTAAGAGAAAAAGTCATAGCTGGCACCGGAAAGGAGACCAAATCAATGGCTGTGCCTGGTGTCAAGGAAAAGGCAGGAGCAGAGAAGCTGCCTCAGCAGCTCTGCCCCACCTCAGTCTCTAGTGCAGCCTGTGTTGGTGCTGCCCACTGCCTTTGGAACACTCATTTGCCAATGCCCTTGTGGTAAAACTGAGCTTAGTGCATGTGGAGAAGGTCAGTGGATTTGAAAAAAAAATCCAAAACTATCCAGAATGTACAGGAGTTTGCTGCACTGAACCAATCAGGTTGATCTGTGTGTCTAAGGTATGAATTTTGCATTAAATAGTCCATTTACACTAAGTGGCAGCTAAACACTGCTTAATGTATATCTAAGAGCAAGCAAGCCTTTTCCAATTTAATGAGAGTGAGGAAACTCCACCACTGCCATTTATAGTCCAACCTTCCAGTAGTCTGATATTGCCCTAAGTAGTCTCTGAGAGAAGTATCTCATGTTTCAGAGTCTTCATCATGGTACAGGAGCACTTAAATTGTTTCTGCCATCTCTATTTTATGTTAGTGTGGAGTTGCTGAAATAATACCTTTCTTTAAGGGAAATGAAGTCAGAGTTAAGGAAATCCCAGCTCTAGGGGCTGTTCAGATATTTGAATAGATTCCCTTTTATATCATTTCAGTGGGAGAACTTTGGAAAATACCAGCTGTCTCTTTCCTTATTTTATTTTTCTATGGACTTTTTTTTTCATTCTGTATTCAGAGTCTTAACTGCTGAGTATCTCTGTCTTTTTCATATTTCAGTCTCTGCTTTGCTACTTCTGTTTCCCTTGCCATTCTCTGCTTTTACACTCCCTTCCTAGGGAAGTAGGAAAATTCAGGTGTTAATACTGGAATGATTTTTAGTGCTGTAGTTTCAGCTTTGAAACTTGCAGCTTTCCCTTGCTTTCCTCAAGCTGATGAGATCTTCTGTGTGAGAGCAGTGGCACGGATTTTCTGTGTAGATCTCAGAGTGAGCAATTATCCTTAATACATCCAGAGTAAAATCCACAGTTATATCATTTCAGCACAGCTCTGTATCATTCCAGGAGGAGCATCCAGCTGAAATAGATGATACTTTGCCAGGATGCAAAAGGAACCTTCCTTAGGACAACATTTCTCCTTCATCTGAAGTTGTTCCCTTTTTTATTGTATTAGCTCAACTGGTTATTTTAACTCATTTTTTCTCAAGATCACCAAGATTTCTGTATGGGGTGTTTATTTAAAATACTTTACAATATAAGATATACAGATCCAACTTGAGCCTCATTAAAAGAACATTGCCAAAAACTGAAAGCCTTCAGAGGCCTATTAGAGTGAATTATCCTAATGAGAAGCATGAATTCTGTCCTGGCAGCTCAAATTGCTTCAGTGGATCTGGAATTCTCCCAAAACCTGCCAGAATTTAAGGACCCGTGTCTGTCTGGCTTCTCTTGCCTTGTAACCAGGACAGAGAGCAGCCAAGTGCTGTCTTTGCCAGCCGTATATTCAGAATACAATTTAAACAAAAAACTAACAGCAGAAACTGTTTTGGTTGTGCTTAGCATGTGTAAGATATTTTTAGATAGATAAAAATTCTCATTATAATTTCTGACAGAAAGAACTTGCTTTTCTTCCTGTAATAATTTCTTACAGGTGAGCAATGGGAATTAAAGTCCATACCTTAGTCTCTGTTGTGAGTCATTTGGGAGGATGAAGAGCAAAGACATGAAGGTCCAAAGCAATCAGAACTGTCAGTTTGAATGTATTCTCTCCACTGTTCCTGGCCCAAGGTTTTAGGTGAATGATCCCAAGAAAAAATAGTCATTTTGTGTAAACTCTCTGTGCATTGTCTGCTTTAATTGTAAAAGCATCAAGTGGCATTTCCTTCCCCACAAAATTCCCTGGCCTTGTATTGCCAGATGTGGCCATAAGTTATACAGCTGTAAATCAAACCAGTCCTTTTCTTCATCTTGCTGAAAGCTGCTGCTCTCAGATGCTCTTTGCTGTTGGTTCCTGCTCAAAATTAGAAGGTATTGTTACAGTGTGATATAGAAACCTCGTCTGCAGTTCTTTTTCCATTTTTCTGACACTGATAAGCAGTTTGCAATGGTGATGTGTTACTGGCAGGGCTCATCTGGGGCTGGAATTGTGCCCTGGAACCAATTCCCGATGCACCGGAACCCTGGCCCGGGCCACATGTGTGAGTCTTCTGGCACCTCCTTCCTTACAAAATGAAGTAGATCTTTGCCCCTCTGCTTTATGCTGGTTTACGTACTGCACGTGCTGATGGCATCCAGCTGGTGAGTTACTGTAATCCTGAGACCTATAAAGAGCTCGATATAAAGCTGGAAAGGTAACTAATCTTTTTGAAACCACGCTTGCAAGTTCAAATTACTTTTCATGTAGGGTTGCTGAATAGAGAATTTTTCAATTCTAGATTTAACATGAAAACCTCATTTCTTATTTTCAAAATTAGAACGGTGTGTTTTACTCTTCTTGATTTGCTCATTCTGTGCAGAATAGCATTCTTTCTTGCTGCTGCTTGGGTTTTTTTCTCCTGGGTGGCCACTTGCAAAGTGCTCATCTCAGAAGTCATTTTCACCTCTTAGTTGCCAGAGTCTTCAGGGAGCATCCAACTCTTCTAAGGCATAAGTGAATCCAGGTTTTCTCTTGAATTCCACCCATGCCAGCTGAGGGTATCTGAGTACTCAGTCCTTCCTGAAGAAAACAGCACTGGTAGAGCTTTCTGTGCATTAGCCAGATGTTGTGTCTGAATCTGGGATCAGGTAAAAGACCTTTTTTGCAGGACACTCCCTTAGTTATGTTCCTTTTGCTGTGCAGTTTTTACTAATAAACAACATTGTTCATGGCCAGTAGTTATAATAATGATAGTAATTTTTTTTCCTCTGGGTCTAACATTTCTAGAAAAATAGGTTTGTTGCTTTTTCTGTCAATGCTGTTTTATGCAGAAGTTATTGATTTATTAAATCATAAGGAGCTAATGGAGAAGTTTCTTCAATTCTATGTCATGCTGGAAATGCTGTCCTAAAAATGGGTGTCTCTGGAAGGCATTGAATGAAGTGATGTACAGAGAGGAGCAAAGGTGCAGATAAATGTAAGAACATCTTTTTGTGACTGAATGCGGCAGCTGTCAAGTGAGTTAAATAGCATTTCTCAATGCAAAAGCTGCTTGAAGCTGGTAATTATTGTGCCATTGAGAAAGCAAAGCCCTCTCATTATGAATATGTGATGAACTATGAATCCCCATCTCATGCAAAACTATCTGAGATTAAATCTTCTTCCAATTTGCATTGTTCAAATAATTATAGCTAGCTGGGGTCAGAGTTTGGGTGATGCATTCCCAGCCCTCGGGTTTATCCACTGGCTCCAGGACCAAACCACAATGTCAAACAGCTCAAAGAGGTATCCTATTGACTCTGTTTTGGCTATTTTCAGATGTGATGCTCCTTCCTGCAGTCTAACCGATGCAGCCCTCTGAGAAGTTCTTCTCCATTCTGTGCTTTGCCTTGTTTCCTGAAGCTTTGCTTTCCAAACAGAAACATCCACTTAAAATGCAGAGTCTTCATTTAAACTGCATTCCTCAGAGTGATCTCTCCCCAGTTCCAAACAGTAAACCACAGCTAAAACAGTAACAGAGAGCTGCTGTGCACAGCGAGACTCAACTCTGAGAGCAACATCTGGATTTGTTAGGATGAGCAGGCAAAGCACTCTGGAGGGTTTAGGAGCAGTGTTTTCTGTGTTTTGAGCTCTTTGATCACCCTGCATAAGGGTATCATCATTGTTCACTGTGAAAATGGGATGGCTAGGTGACAACAGGTTGGCCAGGAGAGCAGGATGGGATGATAACAGATGAAACCTGGGAAGGGATTACAAAGGGCCTTTGCAAATGCAAGTCCATGTCATTCCCAGCACCTCAAAGATGCCCCGAGGCAGCTGCCTGGAATGCTGGATGATTTCAGTTTCTCTAAGTCCATGTTCTAATTGTAGGCCACTTCCTCAAACAAATTATTCTTCTGAAGTATGTGCAAGATTTAAAAGATTTTCCTCCAGTCGTTTCATTTGGGAAGAAGCTGTTTTCCTCTTTTCCTCTGCAGAGTTGTGCAGTGATGTCCCCTATGTCACTGTTCCCCTTGTCCCTGCTGGCAGTTGGAGCTCTGATGTCAGAAGGAACAAGGATGCATCAGAAGTCCCCTCACTCTTGAGTTTATTTGATCACTTTCGGAGTTACTTACCTTTGGATGGTGTGATGCTGCATAAATGTGAGATGTCACCCAGTGCTGCTTGTGCTGATGACAGCTCCGTTCTTCCGAGACCTGCCCTGCCAAGCCAGTGGAAGTAGCTGCAGAGCAATGAGCTGCCTGTGTGTTTCTGGAAGTGTAAGTTGACCTGGATGTAATTTGCTTTTATTCAGCAGCCTATGCATGTGAACTTCCAATGACTGTTCTTTTAAAAAAAGGGGGGAAAAAAAAAAAAAAAAAGGAACAGGAACCGGAAAACCAAACACATATGGCGTGAGATTTGGGCTGTTATGCAAATGGCCCAGCACTGGATGAAACTTAAATTCTGTGCACTCCCAATTACATTTTATTTCTTTTTCTGTCTATTCCCTGAAAATTTTGCAGGGTTGTCTCTTGTATTTTTATACAGAACCTTGCACAGAATCATCAGCTGGGCTCACAGGATGAAGAATCACCTATTACCTTCTTCATGTATAGTTAAACGTCGGTCCAAGTACCTTTGCACTGTCAAAGTAGATTTCTGATGAACATGAGTTAATTTCCTCTCTTGTGGTGCATGTGCTGGAGCTTTTATATGTCTGGAAACATGCATGTTTCCTCTTCCTAGAACACAGATTTCATGGCTTACATCATTGAGTGACATTTTTACAGCTGTTTTTGCTCTTTAACAATTTATTTCTTTCCTCTGTAGCTGAAGGAAATGATGGAAAATGAGCCAAAAGCATCGTGTGAGTCAAGAGGCACGGAACTGCTGCCAAACATCAGTTCCCACCATGACAGGAACGACTCCCGGGGTGGTGAATTCCAAAGAAATGGCTCTGTGGTGGCTGGCACCGGCTTCAGCAGGGGAGTCACGCAGAGACAGGAACAAGGCAGCAGGTAAGAATCTCAGTGTCTCACTCATGCATCCAGACACTTTGTGGTTTCCCAGTCTGTGGTGTGGGAAGCATGTCAGCAGGTCATCCTTGGAACACTTGGGCTGCTGAGCCAAGTAGGAAGAAGGTGAGCAGGGAGAGAGGGAGTTACTGATTTGGGACTGCAGCACTGAGGAGGGAGCCAGGCCTCTCACTGCAAGGTTTTTGCCTCCTTCACTGAAATAAGTAACCTGAGGTACAAGATTCTTAACACTTTGGCAAGATTCCTTTTTTTCTTCTGTTTGCTTCTTCCAGCTTTAGACAACTATCCCTATCTAATTCCAAACTAATTCCGGCCACCACCACTGCTGTATTGGCACTGTTCCAGCCTATTTGTGGCTGTGTGTGTCCTGATAATTGAGTGACTGTATAGCTCCAAAGGGCAGAAACAACGACAACAACAACCCCCTGCTTTGAAATCACGTACTTGAAATAATCTTCAGTTTGGTGAGAAGTAGAGACTATTGGATAATAAAGTCCGGATCTGATTTCTACATATTTATTTTGAAGACAATACCAGCTCAGTATCTTTCTGTGTCCATTTAAATGGGAAACAGTAAATTTTAATCTTCAAAAATCAGGCCTACCAAGACTCCTTCACTCACAGCCATTAGCTACTGCACAAAAAGCAGTGTTTTCAACTCAGGATTTTCAAGCCACAGTTTTAGCACCAAATTTCTTGTGGTAAAACCTTTTTCACGGCTCGGACTTCACCCAACACTGGGATTATACCCTGAGTACCCTGTTTGAAAGGGCAGAGCATATTGTACTGGTGCAGAAAGAGCAAATCAGCTTTGCTCTTACATGATGAAAACTAATTTTCTGGGAAGGTAGCTGTACATTTTCTGAGAACTTTAGGCGGTAGAATATTCTGGACATGCAGGCTTAGATTTCATTTTTCTTTCTGTGCCTTCTTGCTGGGTTGTAACCCTAAACTTAAATTCAATTACATGAAATAATTTTAACAAGTATTAAAATTCAAAAAAGAACAAGGAAACTTCTTAACAAGGAAACTGCATTTTGGAGAGCTCTACCTATTTGCCAAATTTCATTAGAATTGGACAGCAAAAACACATTAAGGAAGCACATATGTACACACGCAAAAAAAGTAATTTAAAAAGTCTTCTCTCTATGGTAAATTAGCAAGAAAAAATACAATTATTTGCAATTTTCCATCATTTAGTGACAATTTAATCCACTTTCAAGAGATCTGAGTAGACTGTACATTGTTTTCTAAAAAATGGTAGCAGTTATAAAGAGGAAGAGCCTCAGGGTACAGCCTGTAGTGACAGATTTTCAATCCCTTGATTCTTAGATAAATCTTTCCCAGATTTATCTAAGAATCAGTGAGAATAAGTGAGAGGGACTGACCTTTTTCCCCTAACTTTAGACTTTCATGTTGGCAGCAGTATGGAAAGAGGTTAATTGGAATATCTCAAAGGGAAAAAAGGCTTCCCTCATGCAAAATAATGAAGCTTGGGTGGTATCATGTAAATGTGGGCAGCCTTTCTTGGCAAGGAACCAAAAAGTAGGTTCCTTGGCAGGAAAGGAGCTTACTTTAAATTGAGTTTCTTTTAAACAAGAAGTGAAAGGTTGCTTAGCTTATCAGTCAGACCAAGAAAACCAAGGGTTCTTTGATAAGGATTTTCAAAGACCAGTAGAACATTTTCCAGAGGCATTAGCTTAGGCTCTGTGTTTTTTAACTGTCTAAAGAGTCTTCTTTCCTACTTTTCACTCAGTGCCTCTTCCTTTTGTTTCTTCTTGCTGCAACAATATCCTTTCTGAGTCTGTATTTTAAGCTAAAAACTTCTTATCTCTTGCATGTGCCGACACCTTGGTGCCTGGTAGCGACCCCATGACTTCTGAGGAATTACACCAGTTTATACTAAGGATCTCTCCTTTTTCTGTATCACTGTATAAAAATGTGAGTACTTTGGAATAGATAGAGTGGGATGAATCTAAATATATTTCTGTTTGGAAAAGGAGCCTGGAGAAGAGCAGTGTAGTGCTGTTGACTCAGGCAGGATGGGCAGTCCCAGCACAGATGGGGCACATCAGTGGAAGCTGGGATGAAAGAAATGCAAAGAAGAAAGGCTGGGAATGATATTATAGCATAAATAAAAATGGGAATAAAGCATCCTGTGCTGTCAGCACTTAGAACCATCAGGAGGAGCAAGTCCAAGCCCCGGCAGTTCACAGCCTCCATCGCCTGCAGTGGTCCTTGGGCTGGATCCACCAAAGGGACTCACTTTTACTTCCAGTGGCTCAGTATAAAGGCACCTCCAGCTATTTTAGAGGATATTTTGGGCAAAAAAAGACAAATATTTTATTTTACAAATGTGATTGTCAACCTAGAATGTTTCAGGGTATTTTCAATGCTGATTTCCCTTTCTTTCATGTCCTCAGAGCTCCCTTTGAGCCTTTGAGATTTTTTTTGCCTAGTGGAATTTTTGAGCAGAGAGAGGAAAAGCAGTTCTTTTCAGAACTGGGGAGTGGGCTGCTTTTTCAGGAAGATTTAAGGTAGGTTTTAATTTTATGTGGAGCCTCCCATCCTTGAGGTACACTGTGGTGTTTTATACGGTGATGTGATAAATATAGAAAGGTGACCTAGTAGGCAGAACAGAGCAACCACTCAATCACTTCACACATATAACACTGGACAGTAAATGAAGGGCTTCAGTAGCAGCAGGGCTGGGATTCCTGACCTCTGGGAGTTCCCACTGGGGTGATTTTAAGGAGTTACGGATTTCTTTCCACTCTGCCCCTTATCAGAGGGGACAGCTCACTGCTGGCACAGGCAGTGGAGAAAGGTAACTTTAAATCATCCCCACATGCCATTCCTGAACTCAGGAGTTAGAGCTAGATTGCAGTGTAGGATAGCTTTCCTCTAAACTTGGTCCAGCACTTAAAAACCTTTTAAACTACCTGAGCTGATGAGTGGTTTTGCTGTTTAAATCACGTGTAATACAGACCTTTACGGAGCTGTAAAGAAAAATAGATAAAATTCTGCACTTTTTATTGTATTTTTCTGTAAGGTGTTAGATTCAGCAAAACCTGCAAAGGACAAGGAGTTAATCTACTGCAGAAGATAAAAGTGGTATTACCAGAACATGATGTTGCCAGTCCAAAGGTAGCTAAAAATTCCAAGAATGACCAAAAGTTTTAGTATTCCATGTGATTGATTTTTCATCTTTCCCCAGAAGGTTTTAAGAAGAAGGTTTAAGTAATCAAGTTGTAATGTGTGAGCCTAAATCTGGGAAGTATTTTGTTTTTAGTAAGGAAAATGGAAAGTCTGCTTCTGTATTTCTTGTAGAGCTGATACTCCTTATCTTCTTGCTCGTTTTTTTCCATACCCTCTGGGGTTTTTTGCACTGCCCTGGTTGGCTCACCTGCACCTGCTCCAGCAGCTGAGGCTGGACAATTCCCTTCAGCAAAGTCCACTCTGTCACTGTTACACTGGAGAAACAAGACTGAAATGTAAGCAGGAAGTGAAAGGGATCAGCCTGTGTCCCAGAGCTGAATTACAGAATATTTCTAGTCTGAATGTGGAATCCACAAGCTGTAAGCTGCCACTCACTTTGCCCAGGGTTTGAATTCTCTCTGTCTCCTGTGCTGAATTGAAGCTTCAGTTGTGTGTAGAATGAAGCCTGTGAAAAGACTCTGGTATCAAGTGTGTCTTCCACAAAGCAGCAAGACCGCAAGTACTAAATTAAGAGACTAGAAAAAGTTTCATGCTGCATGGCATTCTAGGAAAATCATTAAATGAGAGCTATTTTATTTTACATTGAATAGTGATAGGCTAACTCCTTTCTTCGTTTGAAATTAAAATAGACTTTTTTTTTTTCTCTAAAATGCAGTTTTTTGCTAATAAGAATCCAAGGTTACAAATTCTAATTATTTGGCTATTTCACTGAAGGGCATGGTACTCTTCCTCAGGCTCTGCCATGGGATAACCAGGTGAAGGATGCTGGCAGGGAGTGAAGCAAACAGGTGATAGCAGTTACAATATTTTAAATTTGGCTTGAATTGCCTCAGATGATGAACTTCCCATTTGAGGCTGAATGCTACACTTGAGTTTTGTACCTCGTCCTGTAGCTTGTCCTGAAGTCAAAACCAGCTGCACAGAGTGGGAGGCTGAGGAGAAAGTGCAGAAAGACTGTGGGGAAAGCAAAGATTCCAAATTAAATCTGGAACAGTTAAGAAATGCAGGTAAGGACTATGCTTTAATTGTACTTGGGTCATAATTACTTCAAGTCACTGAAAGCAGCAGAATGCTTGGGCCCCTGTGCTCATGGTTGCTCCTCCATAACTGCTGAGTTCATTGCTGAATTCTGCCCAATCAATTAAATTCACACAGGTATCAGAGCCCCTACAAATGTGTGACTTTGCACAGAACCTGAGGCTAAGGAAAAGTCCCAGTGAGGGCTTGCAAGCATGTGATAAGAGCCTGCAAGGATCAGGCTTCATTACTACTGGGGCACTTGCCTTTCTTCCCATTCTTCTCTCCTGCTTTTCCCTGCAGGGTGGAGAAATAAGAATGTGAGAAGAGATTGCTGAGACCAGACAATTTAAAACTGTGGTCTCTTGCTTCTAGCTGTTGTTGCAGCCCTCTGAATTTAAACTGAGCTTAAATGAAGCTGCTGGGAAGAAATGCAGGTCAAGCCTAGGAAGTCATAACTCTGAGGTACAAAGCTTTGCCTTTGAGGGAAAATGGTATACTGGTTAGACTTTGCAAAATGTGCCATGATTTCATTTGGGAAATAAAATTGCAAGAGGAGAGATTGGAATGCCTTAATTATGCTGATCTTGATAGTATGTATCCTATTATATATACTATACGTATTTTCTGGACAGAAGGAAACCTGAGTGTTTCTTAGTCATCAGGTGCTTTGCAGTTTTTAATTGTTTTCAAAGTGAAATGTTGTATTGCTGGGACAGCTGTACAACACCTCCTGGAGCCAGGGGCCATTAATACTGAATATTCCAGTCTGGATAAAGGTGTACAACCCAAATAAATTGATAAATAACTGTATTTTTAAAGTATTTCTCCATATAGTTATCATACTAAAGCAGAAGTGCAGTGTAAAACCCCCAAAAGAGGGGGGAGGTAGAATGTAGATCACCTCCATTAAAGTGAGGAATTTCAACAGAAATTGTCTTCACCTTTGAAATTCAGTGCTTAGCTTTCAAAATGGATTTTGATCATGCCTCTTTATAACAACGTGTTATGTATGTATGCTTGTCTACTGTGTTTGAGGTCATAAACACTGATGACCTTGACTAACCAACAGAAAAGAGGAAAACAACAAAGAAAAACATATTTATACATATTTCCCCACATATGCATGCATGGTTTCATGTGCATGCTTACCTATGTGTAACTACACCACAAACTTGAGGTGAATTTCAGGTATTATCCTGCAATTTGTTGCAAACAGGCTGGAATGTAAATGCAATTCTAAAATAATACCACATGTAGTGTTGTAGTCCTTTTTGAAATGCAGATCAGGATGTTTGGCCATCCCGTGCTGTCACGGGGTTTCTGGAGCTGCAGCCCCTGTACCATAGCAGAGCCCTGGATAATGCCAAGGCGGTGTCACACACTGGACCTGGAGCTCTCAGAGCAGCCTCCTTTAACTCCACTGGGATTTCTATCTACATTTATACACTTGAAGCCAAACACATGCGTGTTCTGTCTGCACAGGGTCTCCCTTTTCCTCCTCCTTTGGTGCACAGGACTGGAAATCCCTACTGCTTCTGCTTTTCTTAAAAATTGCCTAGAAGTTGAGTAAAAACATTGCTGTGGTCGTTTCACCTCTTAAGCAGCATCCAAGGTATTGTTTCCTCTGTTCTTCCTTTTCCCAGGAAGAGCAAGCTGCTCTGTTGAATGGATTTCTCCATGAGGTTATTTTGCAGGTCAGGAGGTTAGCTCACTTTTGTCTTTTTACTCAGCTGCTGCAGAAGAAATCCTCTGTGTGTTCTCCTGAATTGTAAAGGCTGGTAAGAAAGAGAAGCCAAAGTCATCCATTAATCCACAGGCAAAGTCCTATTGAAGCTGCTGCAGTGAAAGCACTCACATGCTGCCCTGGAAATAACCCCAGCCGTGACGTGGTGAGATGACCCTAGGTAAGGTCAGAAGCTCAGTTCTCATTTTCATTTAAGCTCCTGTTTTTTAAACAGTATTTGGGATTCTGCCTCATGGTTCTGCTGAGCCCTTAAAGCAGCTGGAGCACCCTCAGGAGGGAGCAGAGAAGGGGACTGGGGAGGCAGGGGTTTATCTGCTAAACTTGCTGCTCTCTCTTCTCAACTTACTGTTGTTTTGGCTTAGATATTTAATGACCATGACCCCATGTGAGAGCAGCAAGTGGTATCAGGACTTGAGCTTAAGCTGCTTTGCAGAGACAAAGCACCTGTTTTAATTCCTTCTGGAAATGGAAGTGATTTGGAAGTGTCCCAGCAAATTGAAGGCAAAGTGGTAATTCTTGACTGCCTGTACACTTTCTCAGGAAGTGTTTGAATTGGAAGGATCTGTGTACACAGCTCCTGGCCAGGATTTTCAGGAGGGCTAAGAGAGCCAGGGGTCTGTCCTGGCATCCTTTGCAGTGTTGCAGCTGAAATGCCAATGCATTTAGTGGAAAGATAGTGGCATCAACTGTTTGTCTCTTCTCTTCACAGACACTAATTCAATAAAATGTGATGTGTAGGGTTATGGTTAGCTGGGATACAGTCTGCGCCTTCCCCTGGTCCTGGTCAGCGTGCCTTGGGAGCTGCTGGCAGCTTCCAGGAGCAGCGTTATCCCTTGGGATCCAGCTGCAGTGCTTATTCAAGTGCTGAGCAAAGGCGCTGCTGGCAGCTGTCCACTGCTGCATTTGTTCTTGTGTCTTGGAATGACGTTCTGGAATCAATTCAAGGAAATAGAAGTGACAAAAACTACTGACAGGATGGATTTGGAGTGTTTTGTGGGGTAATCAGGTAACATTATAGCCCCTTGGAGTAAGGAGCTGTGATTTGCAGCTGAATCAGCCATTCCCATTGACTTGCTTAGGGAACTGATTTTCAACAGGATATTACTGATTTTTAGTTTTCATTTTTCATTTCTGTGCAGCTTTTTCCTTTTCTGGGTTTAGGGAATCATGCCAAGCCAGTTGATTTTCATTGCATTTGAGAAGTAAGGGAGTGCTGAAGTGTGCAACCTCCTTCCCTCCCTCCGTATGGAAGCATGTTTTGTGTGAATCAGTGACAGAAAAGCAACCACTGAAAATATATCCCCTTTCTTTCTCTGCAGTCATCCCCCTCCCCAAAAACTTCTCTAAGAATGTGACTAAAACCAAAGCACTTTCCAGTTACAAAGGAATAGTGTTGAGCTGGTGAAGCCAGCTGGAAATGAACATAGAATCCCATAGGTTTGAAAAGACCTTTGAATCATCAAATCTGACTGTTAACCTAGACATGGAACAGGCTTGTCATTTTTTTGAAGATTCAGGGTGAGTTTAATTGCATTTTATTTGGCACACATGGTTTTAAAGCTCATCACCTCAGAGTAGGAACAATTTTATGGCATGTGGTAATTATACAAAATTCAAAAACACTACTTCTTTTAATTTTGATTTTTTCACAATGTCTTTTTCATCTATAATTTTCACATCTCACATTTTTCTTTTCAGTTTCCTATGTCTTGTGATTAAATCTTGACCATAAATCTTGCTCTGCTTTGTTAAAGCTAATAGGTGTGCTATATTTCTTTATTTAACAAACAGCTGGATTAATAGTGGCTTTAAAACAATTAAATATGGTTGTGAGGTTTAATATTCCCAGTTTTAATTGCACCATGAAGGAGGAATGAGAGGCATTGTCTTTTATGGAGTGCTTGGGTTTCACATACAGTCTGGCAATCTTTGGCAATCTTGGTACTGGGATCTTCTTCTTACACAGATCATGTCAAGAGAAACTTTCTGTGCAGATTTGGAAATCAAATGGCGAGTGACTGAGTGGCAAACAGGGCTCAAATTGTAACGGTGGTATCGCAGCCAAAAAGGCTTTGGGACCTTTGGGATGCACGGCTGGAGCTGTCACATGGGGCTGGAGGAGGTGGCTTTCCGCATGGCAGCGGCAGTGGTTTAGAACATAAAATTTGGATTTCATAAATTCTCCTTGTCAGTAAGGCTGGAAACCTGCAAAAGTCATGGTCACGTGTTCTGGTGTGTCACAGAGCAGGATCTGGGTCTCCAGTCGCCCTGCCTCACAGAGGATTCCATCCTTGTGTTTCATTTCCATCCAGGCAAGCTCCATGGAGAAGGAGAACCTGAGCATGAGATCTCAGTCATTCATGGTAGTCAGGTTTTTGACACCAAAGCTACATTGCAGCAGAAAGAACAGAACTGATGCATTCCAAACTGGCTCCTATTAAGAAAGGTCATCAGATGCATATGTAAATCAGAAACTCAATAAAGTGTAATGATTCCTAAATATCAGGAAATGTTACTGCAAAACTGAGCATTAGAACATGTATGTGGACAGGATCAGTGAAGACTGGGGTTTGTCTGGATGATAGCTATTATTCCTAGGTGTTGTAGTTAAGTTACACTATAAATATTCCTCATAGATGTTATAGTGGAGTTTACAAAGGGCTTGTCTCAAAAAATGAACATTTGAAGCTTGGATTAAATAGCGTTGCAAGAACTCCTGATCAGTAACCTCTTGTGGTTTCACAGAGCCAATATTCCTTACATTTTCTCAGTTTGAATTCTTGCTCTAGTTAAGCCTGCCTTTGAAATTGTTCTGTTGCAGACACCTCTGCTCCAAGAG